GATTCAGGGTCCCACCTTTTACTGTATGTGATCGTATCAGGTCAGTTAATTTTCAGCTTCTTCAACTGTATCATGGGAATAGATAACTACCTTGCTGTATGACTCGGAAGATCAATGAGTTAAAGATGCAAATGAGCTCAGGCTTACTTACCTTTACGAACTCCTTCAGCATTAGAATCATTCCTAGAATCACCTAGGAATTCATGCCCAATCTGTTCTACACAGTCACATCTTGATTTTCACTTGCCTTGGAACTCCTTTCAATGGCTTCCTCATAAGAAGGAAACTTCACTGAATACTTTCTGTGGAGATGCTTTACTGATCACTGATGTTTAGAATAGTTACAAGTCATGCGGAGCTGTTAGGTACGCCTTCCACAGTTGCAAAGAACAAGACAACTACTCTGAGTACAGTTTCTGTGTGTTCTCCCACCACTCTCACCTCTCCTTGAAAACATAGATGCAAGCCTGGGCAAAGCTCCATGTTTTCTGACATTGCTTTCAATTTCTCTGTAGCTTTTGCTTTCGGTAAAAGTTCCTCTCCAACTTCCAGGGACACACTGTGGTCTAGCTCATTTTACCCTGCCCATGGGAACATCCCCCAGACAGTGAATCCCTCTTTCTCCTTGATTAAATGGTTTGCGTCCCAAGTCAGCATCGATTTGTGCCTCTAGGGCACAGTTTAAACCTGTTCTCCTGACCATCACATACACACCTAGCGCCTATCACAGAGCCTGGTATTTAGCAGGTTTTCAGTGATGAATGAATGCAAGACTCAATCCATGCATGCATGAATGCATCGCTGAATGAACACACGTATGAGTATATTCGGGAATCAGAAGACCTGGCTTCCATTTACCGTTCAGCTCTGCATTAAGTGACATAAATGACCTCAGGGCAAGCCACTAAATCTCTATGCCCAAATGTCCATCCTTGTGAAATTAGGTGGGTGGACTTCACTAAAAATCTCTTTATGTTTTCTTCCAACTCTAACTGAGCCCATGAACCACACCCCCCACGTTTTGTTTTGTTTTTTCCTTAGAGAGAAAGGGAGAGGGAAAAGAGAAACATCAAAATAAGAGGCTGCCTTCTGTATGCCCCCTACCGGGAAGGAAACCGAAACTCAGGCACATGCCATGACCCGGATAGGGAATCGAACCCACACACAATCTTTTGGTACGGGGGACAAGACGCTCCCTCAATTGAGCCACACTGACCAGGGCCGAGCCCCTGGACTTAACCGAGAGTTATAAGACTGGATTTCTTTTTTGAGTAATTTTAGTCAATGCAAGGGGGGCAGGGATGTTTTTCTGAAATCACATACCAGGGTCTCTCTCTGTCAGAGAGTACCTCATTCCCTGGTGACAAAAGGCTCCAGAGAGCATGCAAGCTGCAGATACTGAAGACATCTCTGAAACACTGAGTCTACGGAGTTTGTGTGTTATTATGGGCTTCTTTAAAAAACTTAGAGTGTATTGTTTCCTCAAAAGGGGCCCAAGGGGACCTCTGCTGACTGCTGTCTCTCACCCAAAGCTACCCCCTTTCCAGGCTGAACAAGGTGGGCTTATGCGCTATCTCTCAGGCTCCAAATCTAACTCAATCCCTCTCCCTGCCATCTGCCTGAGGCTCCCACATGCATATTTCATGATTTCTGGCACATTTCCTCCTTATCTGACATCCTGCAATGCATCCCTCTGCTGCCTATATTATTTCTATCTCTGGTAAGAATGTTCTTGAAAGAGGCATGTGTCCTTGGGCTGTACTTTATTAAGGACAGTTTCACCTTTCCTATCTTATCTCCCCACCTGGTCCCCACGTGAATTCCTTGAGGACAGAGACCACACCCTTTATTCCCTCTAGTTCCCCACAAGACCAAAGCAGCACTTAGAAAATACTTATTGAATGAATGAAATGAATTAACAAATGAATGAAATAATTAACTGATTTCAATGCTTTTAAATTAGAAATTCATGTTAATGTATTTCCTGCATAAAGTTACTAAGATCTCCCCTTTTAAGTATACAACCAGGATAAGCCTAGGAAAATATAGTATTTTCCTAGGACTGAAATAAAATGTCCTTCACTACAATATGAATAAGATGAGCATTTACTCTAAATAGAAAGTTTGAATCTATTGTTGATTAGGGCAGAGCATCTTTTTAGAAATTCCTGGGACTTACTTAGCTAAGTCTAATTCTAGTCACATTCTTCCCTCGAGGTTTAATAAACATCAGCTAAATTCAAACTGACTCGGGAATCAAATTATCTGTTCTTCCATGCACTTGCTGCTGCTCACCAATGGACATCAAATAAAACCACGCCAATGGTCAACACACCACTGCTGGAGGGAAAACATGGCAGCGATGGCTTCAAAGCTTCATATTGCTCAATGCTATAAGCCCCATCTGCCGCCCCAGCCCAACTGATTTCAATACTTTTAAATTAGAAATTCTTATTACTACATTTCCTGCATGACATTGTTTAAATTGACTTAAACAACTTAATTATCTCTTGGACGTCATCATATATATATATATATATATATATATATATATATATATTGAATTTTTACAGAGAGGAAGGGAGAGGGATAGAGAGCTAGAAACATTGATGAGAGAGAAACATCGACCAGCTGCCTCTTGCATACCCCCTATCGGGGATGTGCCCGCAACCAATGTACATGCCCTTGACCAGAATCGAATCCGGGAACTTTCAGTCCACAGGCCAACGCTCTATCCACTGAGCCAAACCAGTTTCGGCCATCATCATTCTTGTACATAAAGTTATCATTGCCAAAAGCATCAATATCATGTTACAGAAAAACTGTGTATTGATATAGGAGATAGTACAATTGGAGAGACTTGGATTAACTGAGACTTGAAAAAATGGGGTCCACCAAATGGATAATTAATGTAGGCTGTACATATGTGATCACAGATTATGTCTTCCAGCTCAAATCAAACCGTGTCAAGACACATCCTACCAGGTGGGTGGTGAGAGTACCTGAGACATCACAGTAAAACACCAAAGGAAAAATAAATTCACTGTGAGGCTAATATGTATATTGCTAAAGTAAAAGAAGCTGTTGCCAGGGTTTTTCCACATTTACCCAACTGTGAAGTCAAGGCATTAGAAAGCTAGAGTGTAATTCTGGGCTGTCCATCACACAATTCTTCATTCTACAGAGGCCAACTCAGGCAGAGATGGTCACTTTATCCAAGCTTATACTACTAGTCAGAGACGGCATTGAAACGTAGGTCTCTTGCTCTGGCCAGTTTAGCTGAGTTGGTTGGACCACTGTCCCATACACCAAAAGATTGCAGGTTTGATTCCAGATCAGAGCAAATACCTAGGTTGTGACTGTATGAGAGGCAACCCATCCATGCTTCTCTCTCCCTCCCCTGCCCCCCATCCCCTCTCTCTAAAATCAATAAACATGTCTTCGAGTGAGAATTTAAAAACAAAAATAAAACACTTGGGTCTCTCAAGTCTAGCGTCATGAGCAAAGCACAGAACATTAAATTTAAAAATTAAAAAGGCACATAGCAGGCAGGAAATAAATATTTGTTAATGGAATTGATACGGGGTTCCAGAACTAACTTGGCAAACTATCTACTGATAGGATAAGCCAAGTAATTGCCTCAAGTTTTGCCTATGACTTGTTCAATATAGCCTAGACCTCTTAATACTAAAAGCATCCCTGGTGCAATTAAAAAAAAATGGTAATGGAACAATTATTGAAGCATGCAAATTGGTGGTGAAACCAAAGACTTTGTTGCATTCTTACGGAGTGCATTTGAAAAAAAAAAAAAAATCTATCCACAAACCAGTATGGGTTTCCAAACACATGAAAGTGTAGCATCAGTGGAGAAGTCTATAAAAAGGCAGGTATGACTAAGCAGCCACAAATAACTATAAACCCAAAAAACTATCAGAAGTCTGGGGACCACAGCATGCCTGCATATAAAGATAAGTTGGCATTTCCCATCCATTGTTTCTACAGCAAAAGGGAGTTCTTTTTATACTGCAGTGTTGATTTCCTCTTAATAAAAAGCCTCAGTTGCTTTATAAGGATTTGCAACATTCTATTCCGCCCTCCATCCCACCTGTTTCAGAAACAAATTTTGGGATAATTGAGCCGAGTTGCTGGGAAGTCAATTGGCCAGATCAAAGTGTAAGCAATCAAATACTACACTTTTTCATGTATTTATAGATGTATTACATATCTCACCAAAAAGGCTCTTCCACCTGTAGTTTAATCTTAGCTAAGAAAACCAAGTCTTAATCGTGTAGAACATATCGCCACATGTCTTATTCAGGTGGGGGGCTATCAAGTACACTACTGAATTTTCCTTAAAATCTGACATCTGGCTCTTTAACTTCTCTTCCTAAACTTTTTTTCCCCTTAAACTATTCTAGAATACCGACCAAACAAAATAACTTACAGTAACCACTTACACATCCCCAAGGTGAAACTGACAACAGCATTGGGGGGTCGGGGAGGAGGGAGGAGAGAGAATCCAAACACACGTTTACATAGAGCTGTAACAATACTCACAGTACAAAAATTCCTAGTGCAACAGGAAAAACCTGGTTTACCATTCTCTTTGCGCAGGTCTACAACTAAAGCAATGTACAGTACTTGGCAGGGAAGGGAACAATTCCCTCTTCCACTTGTTTCATTCATGAGCCAGGTTAGCAAACTCCACAAGCCGGGAAAGCTCCCGCACAAAACTTAACCAGGCTGCAAGTCCCACATCGGGCGTCATTGGCACCCAAGGAAGTAGGACCCGGGGGCCCCCCCACCTTACCTTGGCTCCCGCCCTTTTCATGGTCCCAGGGTGTGAGCGGTCACCTGGCGGGGGGCGCGTCCGGACGTCCGCGCGCCCAGACCCGCAAGGGCGAGCGCCGCGCTCCTCCCGCAGGACGCGCCCCCGGCGCCCGGGCCTCGGCTCCCCGGCTCCCCGGACCCCGGCCCGCCCCGGTGCCCGCCGTGCTCACCGCCACGAAGCCAGAGGAGGAGGCGATGAACACACGGATGACCATCCTCTCGCCGCGCCGTCGGGACGCACCGTCCGCCCCCCGTGGACTCCGGGCTGGTGCGGACGCGGGGGCAGAACTCTGCGGAGAAGCGCGGCTCCACCACCGGTCCGAAGGCTTCCTCCGGGTAGGACCGCAGGGATCTAGGTCCCTCCCTCCTGGTCTGCAGATAAAAAGGCTCAGCGCCTCCCCGCCTCCTGCCCTGGCTGGGAGCGGGGGGAGGAGGAGGAGGAGGAGAGGGAGGAGGGAGGAGGGAGGCCGGCGCGGGGCATGCTGGGAGTTGTAGTTCCCGCCTCTCCTGGGGGGACGGTGGACGGAGCTCCTTCAGGTGGCCTCCTGGTTGCGCTGTCAGTGCCTTAGGCGTGCCCGTGTCTGGAGGAGGGAGAGCCCGTGGCAGGGAAGAGACGATGACAGGGGTAGCGAGGATGCCAGGGAGACGAGGAAACATGAAACTAGGCAAAAGGGCTTGGTCCAAAGTCCAAGTTGGGTTGTGGTTGACTGGTTTGCAGCAAACCCACCCAGGTTCATGTGCATGGGGCGAGCCCCAGGGACCTCCGCGCCGGGTGTGTGTGTGTGTGTGTGTGTGTGTGTGTGTGTGTGTGTGTGTGTGTAGGGGCTTGGCGGGGGGGTGATGGTGCACGGGGCTGGGCGCGCCTCTGTTTTCCTAGTCACTCTGGAGACTGCGGAAAGACGATTCCTTTAGATAAATGGGAGGTTTTCTTTTTTTTTTAATGCAGACACTGAAAATTAGAAACCCAGGGGAGAGCACAACCGATATTTTATTTTTCCTAGCAAAACTGTAATTGTAGTAGAAAAAAAAATAAATACCAAGCGAAATCAGAATCCTTCTATCAACATTGGGAATCTGGACTCCACCCGCCCCACCCCCTGCCTTACACAATGGCTTTGCCTCTGTCCACCTAATATTTACAGCGGAGCCAAATCTGTGCCTTTTTGAGACCTGCACATTCCAGCGTGGGCTCCCCGGAGGATGCCCTTACATAAAAAGCCTTTATGTGGTTGCTAATGGTTTAGGAATAGTTCGTTAGCAAGTGCTTTTCTGGTTCACAAAAGCGCCAGCCTCTCTGTTTAGTGGAAATGAATCAGTTTCCCCCTGCAGTACTGTACTTACTTTCTTCCTTTCATCAGGGGAGCCTGGGAGAGTTCTCGGACAGATGGTAATTAATAATTCTAGAAACAAAGAAAATGAGGTCTCTTGGAAAATTTCTTACGCAAATACTAATTGGTTTGGGCCATTTGTTTTTTTAGAGTGATTTTGAATACTTTAAGTTTAAAGCCTTTCCTATTACTTATCTTACATCATTTCTGTATGATTCCTTTTTAATTTAGTATAATAACGAAATACAATCTTAATGGGAATTTATTTCTTCTTAGTATTCAACAATTTTAAATAAATTTTGCTGTAATTAGTAGCTCTGTTCAAATATACTTTAATTTGGCTACCATAAGTGTGGAAAAAAAATGTTTATAAAAACTTAAAACATTCAACATTGAGAATGTATCTTAAAGGTAGATACTAATTTCCTGTATAAATGCAACTTTCAGCATTTTCTTCAGTTTGAAGTTATATAGCTCTGAAGATATGGTTAAACTCAATAATAGGAAATCAGAATCTATTCTTTGAAAGGTACAAAATGGATGAAAAGATGAAAAAGTCATTTTCTCAGTCAGCAGAGCACCTATTGTCTGCAAAAGAAAAAGGTACAGAAATAAGAGACAGAACAAGAAATGCCATACCTATGGAGTGTTGTATGGATATAAAAGAAAGATAGGGGAACTTTGGAAGAGACTTTATGAGTGAGTAGAATTGCCTGGCTGGAGTTGCTCAATGAGTATCAACCTATGAACCAGGAGGTCATGGTTTGATTCCTGGTCAGGGCACATGCCCAAGTTGTGGGCTCCATGCCCAGTGGGGAGCAGGCAGCAGGCAGCCAATCAGTGATTCTCTCATCACTGATGTTTCTCTCTCTCCCTTTTCCATTGTCTCTGAAATATATATATGTGTGTGTGTGTGTGTGTGTGTGTGTGTGTGTGTGTGTGTATAAAATCTTACATATTATATGTATAGATTAATCGATTAAAGATGAGTAGAAATTCTACTGGCAGATAGGGGAGAATGCAGGGTGAGAATTTGCAGAGTATGTGAGAATTGCAAAGAGTCAGTTTTGCTTCAAAAGGGAAGTGAGGGGACTTATAGAGAATAGGGCTGAAAGAAAAAAAAAAAGGTTTGAATGAATACAGCAAGGGACCAGCCTGGGTTATATGCCTAGTTCCTTGCCCTTTTCTGGAATCTGTATCTCCATTCTGATCCAAGAGGTTATAATGATGATGGTGCCCCCAAACCCTGTCCATACAGCAAGACCCAGACGATTAGCCACAGTAGATTGGTCTAGGAGTGAGCTCCTGGCCCAAGCAAGGCCAGGAAACATTCCTACCCTAAGGATTTGGAATTAAGACAGACACAGAGAGAGAATTTGACCTTGAATGTGTAGCATGGAAGATCAGAGCTTTCAGAAGCCATGATCCAACCTAGACCAGAAAAGCTACAGAAGGTAGTCAATAGGAAGAGAACAACAAAGCAGACATGTGGTGCATGGCAGAAATAAGTTTCAGAGTGTCCTGACAATCCTTTAGTCCAGGGGTCCTAAAACCTGTGTGTCAGATCCAGCTGGTTGTCTGTTTTGTAAATAAAGTTTTACTGGAACATATTCATTTTCATAATGTCTATGGAAGAATAATAGACATTATATGGCCTGAAAAGCTTAAAACATTTACTGTCTAGCCCTTTACCAAAAAAGTTTGCCACTCTCTGTTTATGGTTCAACCTATTTCTTTATCCCTGCTATGGAGGCCTGTGTAATATCCCTGTATCTATATCACGAATTCCTCATCTTATTGGTACTTAAGCCACTTCAACTTTTCTGCAACCAAAATTGCCCTTACTGAGAAGTCTGTACTTTAATTTGTAAGCATTTTGATAAAGAGAAAAATATGATCAGAGCTATCCTTTAAGAATTGCTCTGGTAATAATTATTGGCTATGTTTTCTCCACCCTGGGTTGACTAGAACTTGTGTGCAGGACAGAGTGTTAGCCGTCCAGGAAACCTCAAAGGCCAGTATGGAGTTGAAACTCAGAGTTAGTAAAGTGGAAGAGTGACCAAGGGTAGAAAGCAATCTGGGATACAAGCTAAAGGTCCAAGATTAACACCAGGGTATCATAGCACAGAGAGGATTAGATGCCCATCTGACAAGTAGAGGCTGCAGATAGAGCAGGCAGCTGAAACTTAAAGACAGAATGCAGAAAATTGAGTAGGTCATTAGGTTTTAGGGAAGTTGCCCCTGCATTACCTAAGACTTGATCTCCTTTACAAGTCATGATGGACCATCCAGCTAGAGTGGCTTTTCCCCTTAGCTTTATTGAGATATAATGGATATACAACATTGTATCAATTTGAGGTGTGCAGCATGATGATTTGATATACATCTATATTGTGAAATAATCATCATAATAAGGTTGGCTAATGAGCAAAGTGTTTTAAAGAAGAAGTTCTCAACCTTTAACAGTCTGGTGAAGTCTGTGGTCCCTTTCTCAAAAAAAAAAAAAATAGTTTCTAAATATGGACAATAACTCTGGCAGCATAACTCAGTTTGTTAGAGCATTATCCAGGTCCACCAAGGTTGTGGGTTCTATCTCTGGACAGGGCACATTCAAGAAGCAACCAAGGAATGCATAAATAAGTGGAACAACAACTCGATATTTCGCTCTTTCCCCCTTCCCCCCAAAAAAATCAATCCATCAATAAAAATAAATACAGAAAATAAAAGAGACAAGATTACAAAAGAAACTACTTGTATTGCAGTTGCCAGCAATGGGTGTGAGAGGCAGCTGCTGGCCCCAATCACTCCTCAGGAGCAAGGGTAGGTGGAGAAGCCCTGAGGGGCAAGTAGGGCTGGTGCTGGCAGCAGGCGCCAGGCAAGAAGGTGGCGTGTGGGAGCAAAGAATCTTCAGTAACCGTCAGAGGATTGCCCTGATGCCCCAGGGCCCCGACTTGGTCTGGCACTCCTGCTCACCTACTCCACCACTCCGACACTGCTGACGCCCGCCATGTTTCACCTATGCTCTCTGGTGGTCAGCACACATCATAGCAACCGGTAGTTCGGTTGTTTCGCCGTTTGGTCTATTTGCATATTAGCCTTTTATTATATAGGATTGCTTATTATCATTGCTGACCTTTGCAAGAGCACTCCCAGCAGAGGGGTGGAAGCAGAAGCCAGATTGGAGTGGCTGGAGGACTAGTAGTTAGTGAGGTTGTAGATGCAATGATAGAGTCTTTTCTAATGAGGTCTTGAGGGGTAATGCCAGGGGACAAGCAAGGACAGAAGTTTGAAGGGGAATCAGAGAACATGAACGTTGTTCATTAAGGTTTAGCCACAGATTAAATAAAGAGCTCTTTCAAGCACTCTGGAATATCAACTGTCCAGATTTTATTTATGGAATGGAATTGAATCTAATTGGTAATTCTGTGCTGTCAGAGCTGCCCTGTTCTTAATAGCACTTAATCCAATACTATCTGGTTCCCCAAGGATTTAAGGAACTTCAGCCACCACAGCATGCCTGTCACCATCCTGCCTTGCTCCAGGCAGTAGATCCTCCAAAAGCTGACTCGGCACGTTTGGCTGTGAGTGGGTGGCAGATTTGTGGGAGGAGAGGTCAGAAGCCAAAGGGCAGGGCTAGGTCAGAGTCGTTAGGGAAGGAGGATTCCTAGCTGGACTTGTATAATGTCACAGCGGTATGACCTTCCTAAGGCAGTTTACTTCACTTGCTGATAATTCACCTTCCTCATTGTTGGGGGCCTTAATGGAGAAGATGCATATGAAACGCCTTCTCACACAGTTAGGACCCAGGAAGTTATTAATCATGCAAAGTAAAGCTGGGGTGGCCTTCATTTGCATAAAAATACAGTAAGTCCGATAAACATTTCTGT